CCCCCCCCCCCCCCCCCCCCCCCCCCCCCCCCCCCCCCCGCCAGTCCTGCTGATGCACAGCCGAGAAATGCGCCATCCACATCTGGCACCAGCAGCTCAGGGCATGGGAGCCCGGCCCTGCACCCCCACCCTGCATGAGGCCCGATCCTGCACCCCTGATCCATCCCTCCCCCCTTCGATTCCCCAGTGGTCCCCACTGCCTCTCTGCCCCCATTCCTCCCCCCTCTGCACAGGTGCCCAGCCCTACGTCTCTGCCCCCATGCTCCCTCCGTCTCTCCCGCTCGGCACTGCATCTCAGACCCCAGCCCCACCACTGCCGCACGGGCAGCCGGCTCTGTGTCTGGTTCCCAGCGGCGTCTAACCGGCCCCCGCTCCGGGGCACCCTCCTTCCTTCCCCCCAGATCGTGGTGCAGAAGGGGGAGGAAGTGAACGGCTACGTCAAGGTCTACACCGGCCGCAAGGTGGGGCTCTTCCCCGTCGACTTCCTGGAGGAGATTTGAGCCCGGGCCGGCGCCGGCAGTGGTCTTTAGCCAAGGGGCAAGCGGGCCTGGCCTGGAGCCGCGCCTCGGGCCCGAACACGGCCACCGGGGGCAGCTGCAGACGGAGCGGATCCTCAGCGGGGACATTGGTGCTGGGATGCCAGCTCGGCCGTGACGCGTGTGCCGCCTTGGCCCGGGACGCGTCGCAGGCTGGGGCAAGCAGCGGATCCCTTGTTCGCTCTCTCTGGAGGATGGAAGTGGGGTGGCGGGGCCGAGGGGGGCAGACAGGAGCCCTCCTGGACGCGTTCCTTTGCCGCGACGCCCCGTTGCTGCCTTCGGACACCTCCCGTCCTGCCAGCCTCGGCGACGGGCAGAGGGGGGCGTGTGCGGGTGTGCGCTTAGGTGGGGGGGACCGTGAGGTTTCTCCCTTCCCTGGGGTGTGTGTGTGTGGGGGGGGGGGGGGGTTACCCCAGCTGTTGCTGGGTGCTTGCGATCTTGCTATGTCTTGTCAATATACCCGTGTTTCCCCTCCTGGTTTGTTCTCCCTGGTGACCCGTGGCGTGGGGGTGTTGGGGCTGCTGGCCAGGGGCTTGGTTTGAGGGCTGGGGGCGATGCAGGGGAAGTGGCCTGGTGGCTCAGAGGTTTGCATGGGGCACAGCCTGGGGGCACGGGGGGTTGGAATGACGCGTGCGTGGGGGGGAGGAGAGTTTGTTGGCACCTGCCCCCTGGCATCCGCAGGCACCCGCAAGCCCTGGTGGTCAATGCTGCTATGCAGCCAGCAGGGGGCACTCCCGGCACAGCGATTGGCATTTCTCCGTGGCGCTCGGCTAGGCTCCCCCATTCGAACAGTGCGATGACGTCAATCAAACTCCCGCAGCCTGGCCGCTGGGTGTCCGGTTGTGGCCCAGGGAGGGAGGACCGGGCATCGGGCCAGGGAGGCGGCTGGCTCGGATCTAGCCTCTTCCCATCCCTGGCTGCTCCGGGTGACCTGAGTTTGCTGGGTCTCAGCTGGGGCCGGTGTGTGGGGTGAGCCAGCCCGGGGAGACCCTGGGCCCTCGATTCGCGGCGAAACCGTCTCCTCTCGTTTTAACCCTTGTGGCCAAGTTCCCGAGCGAGCGTCTCTTGCTGCCAGCGATCGGGGGCCCCAGCGGGGTGGCTCGTGCCCGTAGCCCCGCCCGGGTGCATCCAGCAGAGGGGGCTGCCGTGGGGTTTGTGCACGTTTTAGCGCCGTTCCCACTGCCCGGGGAGATTTCCCGCCGTCTCTCGGCCTGCTTTCCCAGCCCGTGGCCCCAGCGTCGGCCGTCTGCAGGCCGGGCAGCTCGCAGCCGAGCCCCGGCTGGGCCTCGTCTCCACTAGGGAATCGTGAGCACGTGTTGGCAACACACATTAGCCAGTGAGCGGGAAGGTGGGGCTTTTGCACGTGAGCTGGGCGCGGTTAACCTGCCGGGAGATCCAGGTGCTGAAGCTGGGATTGTAACTCCTGGGTAGCTGAGAGAGGCAGGTTGGGGCGGGAGAATGGGGCAGAGCCGGCTGGCAGTTCTGGCTCCACCACAACCATCCCATGCAACCCTGGGCAAGTCACTTAGTCTCTTGTGCCTCGTCCTGTGTCTGGCAGGGGCTGAGAGGATAAATGCAGCAGAGAGTATAAGGCGCTCACACACTATGGGGATAGGGCTCGGGCTTGATCCTTTATTTGGGCTGGAGGGGCACCCTGACACCCCAGAGCCAAGGGTTCAAATCCCAGCTAGAGCAAGTCAGTTCACTGAAACCATCTGCCACACTGGGGTCCTGCCTGGAGTCAGGAGCGCTGGGATTCCATCCCTGGTTGCGCTTGTTGCTGTGTGCCAGGTTGGGCGCACGCTCCGCCCCAGAGACAGCCGCATTGAAAGGTGGAGTGACTCGGGAAATGGAAACAACCTGCCCAGCGACCCAGGTTGTGGCAGGTGGATTTGGAGCTGGGGGTACCCAGCAAGGGCAAAGAGCAGAGATCCTTCCCTCGGGCACCGGGTCTATTTTCAGCAGAAAGAATCCCGGAGGGGCTGATCCAGGTGCCCGGCGTCCTGTCCAGAGTCCACAGCAACCCCGCCGGGGGGGGCCTGAAACCCCAGTGCCGGGCTGCCTGCAGCAGAGCCCAGAACTGGAGCCTAGCCCGGAGGGCGCCATGTATGGGGGCCAGGGGACAGGTGCGGCCGCCCCAGGCCTCCGCTCCCCCGCCCTTGAGTTTGTTTGTTGGTCACTGGAAAATTCAGGGCTTGGCTGTGGGGAGGAAGCGGGGGGATGAGCAAACAGGTGCTTCCCTGCGGGGCGTCTGGTCCGGTGCCGAGGTCAGGGCCAGCGCGGGGACAAGGAGCAGAGCCCAGCAGCCAGCCCAGCCCAGAGGGGAAGGGGCCAGCCCCCTGCATTGGGGGCAGGGGGTATCTTCAGAGCCAGCTTCTGGGGCTCGTTGATGGCCTCCCCCCTCCCCGGGAGGCCGTGGGGCAATGCAGGGGGCTGAGGGACGTGTCCCCTCTAAGGCCCCAGCCTGCTGGCCCTGAGCTGACATGGGGTTGCCCCCAGAGCCTGGGCTTCAGAAACTGGGGGGGTCGATCTCCCTTCTGGCCACTAGGTGGCACCTGGGCCCTGCCAGTTGCTTTTCCCCATCTGTAACTTGGCAAGTCCAGGTTTGGGGCTGGGCATGGGGCAGGGGCTGAGTGGGGCCGGGCGGGGGGTGGGGGGGGGGAGAGGTTGTGTGGGGAGGGCAGCGTTGGGGGGGCGGGTTCATGGCTCCAAGGGGTGAAGCCTACGGAGAGGGATCCCTGCCCCCCAAGATGAGGGATGTCCAACTAATCCCTGGGGATATGGCCCCCCCAATCCCCGGGGAGATGGCCCCCCCCTCGCCACTTCCTGTCCCAAACTGCGCTGGGGCTGGGTCAAGAGCAGCAGCTCGGCCAATCCCCTGCCTCGGGCCAATGGAGAAACGGCGTCAGCGCCTTCCCGACCACCTGCCGCAGGGAACAACAACCCCCCCACCCCTTGCGCACGCAGCGTGCTCCCTGTGATGGGACCCCAATTTGGAGGCTGCCCGGGGGGCCCTGCTGACAGCAGCTGTCTGCTCGGGGGCCCTCACCCGAGTACTGCCCAACGGGAGGGTGCTGCTTGACTGTTGGGGGCTGGGCTGAGACCCCCCCAGAACTTCTCCCTGGCCCCAAGCCAGCCAGCCCTGCCCGGGTCTCATTGTCAGGCTGGGACTGGATATTTTTCCCCTCCTCCCCAAACCGTTATGCGCCCGCGCGCCGCGCCTCTGCCACGGCTTTAATCTCGCTGCCACCGGGAAGCTAATTCAATTATCCGGCTTTGTTCTGCCGCCTTCTAATCCCGGAGCCGGCAACTCGCAGCAGCAGCGCGCAGGCCCCACGGGCGACGCAGGTTTGTTTCCTCGCCCGGCCCAGGCCCACATGGGGAGACCCCCCGCAGCCTCTCCCCTCCCAGGGCGGGCAGCCCCATGGGCCGCCTGCTAGGCCCTGGCTTTGCCAACTAGCCTGGGACCCTCCGGCACTCGCTGCCTCGGGGAAATGGCGGCAGCTTTGCCCTGTCCCTGTTGTGCGGCGCTAGGGGCGTTTGCAGCAAGGTGGCGGTGGGGTTGCCTGCCCGCGGGAGCAGGGTCTGGGGTTAGAGTGGGGGGAAATCAGGACTCCTGGGTTCCATTCCTGAGCTGGGGAGAGCAGGGTGAGGAGGGTCTGGGGGTGTAGGTACAGGTGTAACTTGTAGGTACAGAGAACAGGACCCCTCAGTCAGGTCCATCTTGGGGGCAGGGAGGCCAGAGCCCCTTCTGGGCCCCCTCCATTTCCTCAGCCAGCTCCAAAGTGAAACTCGCCAGCCCCTCCTCTGGCCTTTGTCTCTTTCCCGGGCCAGGAGGCCACCTGATCCCTTTGTTCTCCGACACCTTCAGTTGGCACCTTTGCAGAGGAGGGGCCCAGGCCATCTGTTGCCAGGAGACAGGGTGTCGGCCATTCTTTGTGCAGACACCATCACACTGGCCCTCTCGGGCCCTGCAACAATCACACCCCCTTATCCCACCGCCTAGATACTTACGAACGGCATAGGGGAAACTGAGGCACCCCCACAGTATTCAGAGAAAACATTAAGAACATTCCCACTTCGTCACAGGGGGTTAGAGCCGGGGCCTGGATCAGGACTCCTGGGTTTCATGTCTGGGCCTGGAAGAGAGTTGGTTTAGTGGTGGGAGCAGTGGAGCAGACTAGGGGCCAGGACTCCTGGGTTCTATTCCCAGCTCTGGGAGGGGAGTGGGGTGTAGTGGTTAGAGCGGGGGGGGGGGGCTGGGAGCCAGGACGCCTGGGTTCTATCGCTGGCTCTGCCACTGTGCTGCTGTCTGACCTTCGGCAGGTCCGGTCCCCTCCCCTCCCCTCGGGTATGGCCCGGTCGAGCTGTGAATCCCCCCATCGGTGATCATCCGGGGCCTGAGGTCAGAATCCTGCTCTTGGTGACATCACAACTCGTTGCTATGGGGACAGCGATGAGGTCACTGGGATGGGAAAGGCCAGGGGCTGAAGGCCTAGTTTGGAGGGGGCAGCGCTGGCACCCCCTGCTGGCACGCCAACCCCTCTGCACGGTGCTGCTCTAGACCCAGCCCCGCTCACCGTGCCCCAGTCAGGCTGCAAGCCGGAGGATCCCCAAGGCCTGGCCAGGGGGGTGGGGGGCAAAATACCCCCCCGCCTTGTTCGCAGTGGCTCATGCCTGTGGGAGCCAGCCCTGAAACGTGCACGTGGCTTTATTTGAAGGCCCCGCATCCCGTTTCCAAACCGCCCCCCCCTCGCTGGAGTTTTATTGTCCCTTAACAAAGGGTTCCTCGCCCCCCTCCCCCCGACGGCTCGCTGGAGCTCGTTAGCGCTGGGTGGCGCTGAACCCGCCGCTGCCCGTCTCCCTCTCCCTTCTCCTGGCGCTCCTCCTTCCCGCGCTCGCCTCTCTAATGAAAAGAAAAGCCCAACATCAGACAGCCTGAAGTGTCCATAAAGCATCTTTAAGTCCAAGTAATTAAGGCTGTTTCACAGCCTGTGAGCGCCGCGCCGGAGGGACCCCGAGCCGGCTTCTGCCTTTGCATTTTAAACCATCTGGACGAAACGGC